AAGACTTAATGCCAATACTCCTCAAACTCTAAAGTGAAATTGAAAGGGAAGCAATTCTCCCTAACTCATTCCTGGAAGCAAATATTACTCTAGTACCAAAACCTGAGAAAGACCCAACTAAAAAAGAGAACTATAGGCCAATCTCCTTAATGAACAGAGATAAAAAATTTCTCAATAAAATATTGGCAAACAAAATGCAACAAATCATCAAGAAGATTATACACCACAACCAAATGGGATTCATCCCAGGAATACAGGAATGGTTCAACATATGTAAATAAATAAATGTAAACCACCATATCAATAAAGCCAAAAATAAGAATCACATGATCATTTCTATAGATGCAGAAGAAGCTTTTGATAAGGTCCAACACATTCATGATAAGAACCTTACAGAAAATTGGAATAGATGGTCTTTACCTCAATATGATAAAGGCCGTCTGTGACAAACCAACAGCCAGCATCATATTAAATGGTCAAAAACTCAAAGCCTTTACCCTGAAATCAGACACAAGACAAGGATGTCCCTTATCACTGTTCCTATTCCATATAGTGCTGGAAATAGTAGCCAGAGCAATCAGACAAAAGAGAGAAATAAAAGGAGAAAGGATAGGAAAAGTTAAATTATCATTGTTTGCAGATAACATGATACTCTATATAGAGGACCCCCAAAACTCCATTGAAAGAATTCTAGGTATAATAAATAAATTCGATAATGTTGCTGGATACAAAGTCAACACTCAAAAATCAATAACATTCCTATACACAAACAACAAACTCACTGAGAGAGAAATAAGAGAGGCCTCACCCTTCACAATAGCATCAAAAAAATAAAATGCTTAGAAATCAATCTAACAAAAAAGTAAATGGTGTATTTGGGGAATATTACAATACCCTGAAAAATAAATAGAAGAGGACCTCAGAAAATGGAAAGACAGCCCTTATTCATAGATAGGAAGAACAAATATTGTGAAAATGGCCATCCTTCCAAAATTGCTTTACAGATTCAATGCAATCCCAATCAAAATACTACTAGCATACCTCACAGATCTAGAGAAATCACTCCTAAAATTCATCTAAAGCCAGAAGAGACCTAGAATAGCAAAGGTAATTCTAAGCAACAGAGGGAAGGCAGGAGGCACCACAATCCCTGACTTGAAGTTATATTACAAAGCTATTATAATAAAACAGCATGGCACTGGAATAAAAACAGACCTGAAGATCAATGGAATAGATTAGAAGATACAACTACAACTACAAACACTCAGCCACCTTATCTTTGATCAAGAGGCCAAATTCATTCACTAGTCGAAAGATAGTCTCTTTAATAAATGGTGCTGGAAAAATTGGCTCTCCATATGCCAAAAACTAAAACTACACCCATGCCTATTACCATGTACTAAACTAAATTCTAAATGGATCAAAGATCTAAATATTAAAACAGAAACACTAAATCTGTTGGAAGGCAAAGTAAGTAAATATCTTGAAGACATAGGGATAGGTAGAGAATTCATGAACAAGAATCAAACTGCATGGGAAATACTTAACAGAATCAATAACTGGGATCATGTCTTATTGAAGAGTTTCTGCATGTCAATAGACATCTCCAGCATAGTGAAAAGAAAACCCACAAATTGGGGAAAAAATCTTAGTGAACTGTCCCTCAGACAAAGGACTTCTGTCTGGAACATATAAAGAATTAAAAAATCAGACCCCCAAAATTCAAAGACTCAATCCAAAAACGGGCATCTGAGATGAACACACAGTTCTCAGATGAAGAAATACAAATGGCAAATAAATACAGAAAAAATGTTCTTCATCATAAGTCATTAGAGAAATGCAAATTAAAGCCACACTGAGATTCCCTCACTCCAGAAAGAATGGCCAGAAGTAAGAAAACTACCAACAACAAATGCTGGAGAGGCTGCAGGGGAAAAAGGAACTCTCCTGCACTGGTGGTGGGAGTGCAGACCAGTGCAACCACTGTCTAGATCAGTCTGGAGGGTCCTCAAAAAGCTGGGATTGGAAGTCCCATTTGACACAACTATTCCACTTCTAGGCATATTCCCAGAAGAACTGAAAGCATCATAACACAGTGATATATGGCACCCATGTGTATAACAGCACAATTTGTAATAGCCAGATCTAAATTTGTAATAGCCAACTTAAATTCCCATCAACTGAGGAATGGCTAAAAAAGATGTGGTATTTTTATACAGTGGAGTACTACTATTTAGCTATCAAGAATGATCACATTGAGATATTTGTAAGTAAATGGATTCAACTCGAGACCATACTCACAAGTGAAATAAATCAAACTCACATGTGTAAATACCATATAGTCTCCCTAATGTAAGAAGAGTACATAAGATACAAAAACCTCAATAAATACAGTGAAAGGATAAGAATGTGCTCAAAGGAAAAAAGTAATATCTCATGGAAAAGGATGAAAAAGAAAAAGAGAGGGAAAAGAAAAAATATCCAGAATTATATGAACACAGGATGGCTAAGATGATTTGTGCTACAAATTCTATAAGATCGTGGAACAAAACAGTTAACATTCATAGGATTGGTACAGTTGTGCATGTTAATTTATGGTAATCTGAGAAACTCTTGAAGATCATTATGTAAAATAATAACCCTAGTTATGCTCCCACCACCTTGTTTTTAAGGTCTATACTGTCAGTGTTTTGGGCTCTTTGCTACTGTTATTTATTTGTCTTTTTTGTTTCATGTTTTCATAGTAATTTGTTTTGTTTTGTTTTTCCCGCTAATACAGAAAGGACAGATATACATGTAGAGACTTATACTTGTGTAGAACTTCTAAACAGTTTATGAGAATTGATTATATAATACACGATGAAATGAACAGCTACTTTGAAGAAAAAGAGACATTATATTATCCATTGCTGATTCTGTATTGTCATGCTGTGAAATACGCCATCATTCTTTGTTCAGAGTGATTTTAGTCTGTTTTGCATTGTTTAATTTCAACACACATGAAGGTATGGACAGCTATTTTGAAGAGAACGAGAAACATTATGGCAGCCATTGCCGATTTCCCTATCATCTGGTTTTGAAGGCCTATACTGCCTTCATCGCTCTGTTCTGATCAGTTTAATACTATTTTGTTTCATATTAATTCATTGTGTGTGAAGATAGGGACAACTATTTAGAAGAAAACAAGAGACATTATGATAGCCAGTGATGATCTCCTGTTGTCTTGCTTTGAAATCTGTGTCATTTACATTGTTTTCTTCTGATCGGCTTTGTTCTGTTTTGTTATGTTTAGTTTTATCCTTTTGAAAAAAAAAATTTGGCTGAAAAAAGACCTGCTGCTTCCATCTGATTTAAAACTGCAAACTCATTTATCTTGATCATTTTTTACAGCATTTATCACCTCCTACTATTGTGGGAAAAACTGAATCAACATTAGCCAGCAGCTCAGGAGAAGAAAAGAAATTTTATTGGTCCTAGTGGCCCCCTGAGGAACTAGCGCCAAATCTGAAGTGAAGTTCACAGAAAGTTTATCTTTTTATAAGTTGGCAAACAGAGGTTACAAAAAAGAGATAAGCTTCTAGCTGAAGGCCAGGTACAATGGGTACTTTGTAGTCAACACAGCTATATGTAGAAACATTTTTGTTTATATGTTTTAGCTGAGTTCAGAAGCAGAGAACAGAATGACTGCAACTTTATTAAACAAAGTCGCTGCAGTTAGAAGAGCTACTCTCCTACCCCTGGTAAGCAATGGACTGATTTGGAGAAAGTCAGGCTGATATGATAGCAGTTGAAGAAAAAATAACTTAATGCTTGCATTATTTGACTGACTTTGCAGGCCTAAGGCTGGCGGTCTGGGCAATATGCATTGTAGCAACTGTGGGGGATTTACTTCTGTCTTGTTTTTGAAATCCAATGTTTTGTTCCATTTAATTGTTTCAATGTTTTGTTCCATTTAATTGTTTAGTTTTATTCCTGTACTTGGCAACTTGAGCAACTATTTTGAAGATAACAATATGCAATGTAACAACCATTGTCAAATTCCTATCATCTTGTTTTGAAAACCTATATAACTATTGATTTTTGTTGTTGTTATTGTCATTTTGCTTTTGTTGTGTTTTTTAAAATTTGTTTGATACTTGATTTTTGGTTTTTTCTCTTTAAAATAAAAAATAAGAGGGTTAAATTATCCTTGTTTTCAGATGACATGATTCTTTATATTGAATAACCTAGAGAGTCCTCTAGAAGTTGTTAGAACTAATAAGTTAATTAAATAAGATTGCACAACAAAAATTCAATGTCAATAATTTTCTCTTTAAATACACAAAATCATAACAGAAGTACTGAGAAAAAAATCAGTATCAGTCACAGTAACCAAAAAAAAAAAAAAATTAACCAAGTACAAGAATTATCTCTACAATGAAAATTATAAAACACTGATTTAAAAAATTGAAGAGGACACAAAGAGATAGAAAACTGTGCCATGTTCATTGATTGGAAGAGTATTATTAAAATGTACCTACTACCCTAACTGACCTACAGATTCAGTGTAAATTCCTCATAAACTTTTTTTTTATTTTAAAGGGGGTAAAATTAAACACAACAAAACAGAACAAAATAGGACATAAGAAAGCAATGTAAAAGATATAAATTTCAAATCTAGATGACATGATATCTTCACTATCTTATTGTCTCTTGTTTTCTTCCATATAGTTGTCCATGTCTTCATTCTGAACAAAATGAGGAAGGCATTTTAAGTCTTCAAAACCAAACAATAGGGAAGTCACTAATGGCTGTCATAGTCTTTCATTCTCTTCAAAATAGCTGTCCATACTTTCATGTATATTGAAGTTCAACAAAACAAAACAGATGCGGGGGAGAGGGTTTACTTGGTTTCCGGGTGATCCAAGTTCCAGCATAGTGCAGGTCCCAGTAAACGCCGGAGGCTCCCATCCTGGGCCACTGGAGCCTGCCACACTCACAGCTGCTCACTACAGGGGAGGGGTTGCTTCAAGCTATTTCTTGAAGCCATTTCACTGCCCACGTTCTGAATGGCCAACAGACCATAGAAAGACATCTCTTTAGGCTCCTGCTTGAAACTAACAGCATCAGGAAGCTACCGGCCTTGATTCAGGACCAGGTAATTCCTATCAAAATACCAATGACACTCTTCAGAGAAAAAGAAATAACACCCCTAAAATTTTTATGTAACCATAAAAGACTCCAAATGTCCAAGCCATTTTTGAGCAATAAATAAATCTGGAGGCACTGATGCCTGATTTGAAAACATACTACAAAGTGATAGTAACCCAAACTGTGATATTGATGAAGAACAGTTGTGTAGATCAACAGAACATAATAAAGAACCTAGGAATAAATCCACATGTTTACAGCAACTGGGTTTTTTTTAAACAAAGGAAGAATGAATATATATTGGAGAAAGGAAAGTCTCTTCAGTAAGTGATACTGGGGAACTTGGGTATTCATAATTTGAAGAAATTGGCACGCTCTCTCTCTCTTTCTCTCTCTCTCTCTCCTTCCCTCCCTCTCTATCCATATACAAAAATAAATCCAAAATTGATCAAAGGATAAAGACCCAAGACAACTAGAAGAAAACACAGAGAAATGCTTCAGGATGTTGGTTTCAGAAAATTTCATTTTTGAATCTGACAACAAAAAAACAAACTGACAAGTGAGATTATATCAAACTAAAAAGCTTTGTATAGCAAAGGAAACAACACAACAAAGAGATAACCTCCAGAAGGGGAAATAAATTTGAATATTATTCATCTATGAAGTTATTAATTTCTAGAATGTATAAGGACCTGACCTCAGTAAATTACAGATAATCCAATTAAAAGTGGGAGAATAACCTGAACAAACATTTCTCAAAAGAGGGAATACAAATGGGTAACAAGTATTCGAAAAAATGTTCAACATTAGGTATACTAGTTACTCTGATCTGCTCATTACACACTGCATACTTGTATTGAAATGTCACACTGTACAATTACTGTGTGAATTAAAAATAAAAATGTATTTTAAAGAAATTTTAGTTTTCAAATATTAGGGAAATTTCTAGATATTTCCTTGGAGTTGGGCTGGCACTCTGACACTGGACTCAGGGCCTCACCTACCTTCTGCCACTGAACTACACCCCAGCCCCAAGGTTTCCAGATAGCTTTATTATTGTTTTCTAATTTAATTTGAGGTTATCAATGAACATCCTTTGCATGACCCAAACCCCTTATGTTACTGTGACTATTTTTATGCCTAGGATATGATCTCTCTTGGTAAAAATTTTTTAAACAATACTGGATATTTAATTCAGGGCCTTCACCCTGACCTACACCCCAGTCCTGTAAATTAACTATTTTTTAAAATTTTGAGGTAGGGTTGTATTAAGTTGCCCAAGCTAGGCTTGAACTTGTGATTCTTCTACCTCACTCTCTTAATCCATATATATTTGAAAACTATATTCTATTATTGGATAGAGTGTTCTTTAAATGTGAGATCAATAATGAAATGATCTTTGTTACTTCTGATAATATTGTTCTAAAATCTACTTGTTAAGACATCAGCAGCAACTCTGACTTTCTTTTACAGTGTCATATAATGTTTTTCTACTTTTCTTTTTCTTACAGTGCTGGGGACTGACCCCAAGCTCTCATGCATGCTAGATGAATGCTTTATCACTAAGCTATATCCTGGATCACTTTTTATTTGCAACATGCTGAGTTGCCAAGACTGGCCTTGAACTTGTGGTCCCCTTGCCTCAGCCTCTGGAGTAAATGGAAATACAAGCATGTGTCTATTCCCTCTATGTCTTTTTATTTTTAATCTGTTTGAGTCTTTATAGCTAAAATAGCTTCTGATAGGCAGCATCTATTTAGATCTAGGCTCACCTTCTTGGATTCTCTCACTTTTATTTGGGTTCAATTCCTTACTACATTGTTAACCCTTAAATGATTTTAGCAAGTTTTCCTTGTATTTTGACTACTTTTAAAGTTTGTCTTAAGCAGGTTATGTCTCAGTTCCTTTGCTCTCCATTACTAGTTTTTCCATCAGTAACTTAGTAAAAAAAGTACTTATTGAGTACCTGCTGTGCCGCACACATATTTTGGGTACTACAATTATAGTGATAAGCCAAAGTCCCTCCTCTTAAGAAACTCACATTCTAGTGGAGGAAAGTGTTCATTTTTCTATTTAAAATTGCTTGGAAGCACTTTGTATAAAATGTATAATCTAGAAGCCAGTGTTAGTCTCTCCCTTCTGAGAATTTCTTTGGTAAGCTTTAGCCTCTCACAGTGATCTCTCTTTGTGCTTGACAAAGCTGGAAAACCATCCATACCTTTGCACAAAATCTTGGGGCTGGAGGCCTAGAAGAATGAGATAGGAGTTAGGTGGAAGCAGCTTTAACACTTAAGAAATGATATGAGTTCACCATATTGCAAACAAAAGTGGAGGAAGTTGACACTTGGAAGAATCTACACTCGTCTTTTCTATCCCCCATGGAAATTCAGGAAATGGCACCTAATGAGAAAAAGTCATGGAAAGCTCTTGAACTCTGGCCATCTTCCAGTCAGCCTAGATCAAAAGGACCCTCAGATGCCTCAACTCTCTCCATTTCACAGCAGTCCTTGAAGAGACACAGCAGTCCTTGAAGAGATGGTCTTTAATCCACTGGGACCCCTCCAGAAGGAACATTTTTGTACATAGGTGTGTCAAGAAAAAACTAATATAATCTATGCCCCCAAAGTTATCAGTGTCAAAGTGTCCCCTCAAGGGATTATCAAGCCAAAAATATCCACCAAGGAGTTTATTATTCAAGTAAGGCTTGCCAAAAAGAATTCAAACCACCAGTGTTCCCCTCAAAGGAATGTCAAAACACCAGTAGCCACCAAATAGGACACTCTTTTGCCAGGGCTTTCAAAAAAAAAAAAGAAAAACAAAAAACAACTACCAGTGTCCCCCAAAAGGGATGTGAGGTCACTCTTACTCTACAATGGAGATTGTCCTCACTGATGTCCCCCAAAGGGAGTGTCAAACCATCATTATTCCTAGCCAGGAGATCATCAGATAGACCCATTACAACACTGAGATCACTCTATGGCTGAATCCTCCTGAAAATCTTTTAACATGATACAGTCCTCCTGTCTTCCTCCTGAACGTCTTTGGAGAAAGTTTAGCTATACCTTGCATCCTCATTCTTCCCTGTGCCTACGATTGGGAATGGTGAGAAGTGGTTAACAAAGTATAAAGAAGGATCAGTGAAGCTCTCAGCAGTACCATTCTCATCTGTAAAGAATGTCTATCAAGGGGCTGGGCAAGTAGTGTGTAGTCTTGGTTGCTCTCTGGGTTTACAGGGTTTCTCCTCTTAACACTTTCATAGTAGTCCTTGCTTTTAAAAAACTGACTGATGAGTATCAATATGTAGTAAAGGGACTCTTGCAGGAGGCCAAAAGATAAATGGAGTATTTTTGTTCCTCTCTAATCACCTAAGAAGGTGTTAGGTACATTAGTTACACCATCTTAAGGCTGGAAATTAAAAAGGAGCAAACATCTTATCTCACGCAGCAGTGTGAGACTGGACTAATGTTCAGTGGAATATTTCCTAATAACCTGTGGTTGGCTGATTCCCCAATGAGATGGTGGAAATGGCCCCTCTCAATAGATTGCTTTTGTCCTTGAGGGGAAACTAGAGCTGAGAACAAACATCTGAGAGCCCAAAGTTATCCGCAATGAGTTCAGGTCCACTGTGTGATCTTTACACAGTTACATTCACTCTGTGGGCCCAGCCTCCTCATCTGCATAATAGCAGGAAAGCGGGTCACTGCAGGATCTTCCTTTTGGCCTAGATTGATGGAGGAGGATGTCTTCTTAGACAGCACATTGTCATCCTAGAAAATGATGCCATCTAGTGTGAGCCTCTTGCCCTTCCTCTTCTTTACCAGCAGATCAGGAATAGCACTCACTGGGGTGTAGATAGACACACAGGTCTCTTGTGGCCCAGGCACTCAAATACGTACGGGCATGCAAGACCTGGCTCTAGTTAAGTAGTAGACTTCAGGCAGAACACAAACACTCCCACCTCAAGGGATTCCCCATTGTCACAGCTCTAGGCAGTCATTCTAACCACTGCCCAGAAGATGCCCCACCCAAACCATCCCTGCCTATCTGAAGCCCACACCTCCAGACTGACCCCAGTTATGCCCAAACTTGGTTGTCTCATCCTATTCACAAAGCAATATTTCACTGGATGCAGGATTTAACCCAAGGCAGTGTTCTGGGTATTCTTGGACATGCTTTGATGAACTAAGGCATTTCTAGCAGGGTTTAAGGGCCATTTGGGCTCCACTGACCCTAGTTAAGACCCAGAGGCTGATTTTCTTTGTAGATCTCCAGCCCATGACACTTAGCTTCCCAACTCTCACATCTAGTTCCCCCAAACCCTCTGACATCTAGTTCCCCCAAACCTATTCTAGTCCTTGAAGGTCCCTTTAAGCCACTATTAAGAACAACTTGGGCTCAAGCACTACAATGCTCATACCCAGATCAGCTTGGCCAGGCTGGCACAGAGCAAGGAAGTAGTTACAGACCACTCCCTGAAAGGTCCCCACACTCCCTCTCCCAGAAAAGACACTACATGACCAGAGGATGAAGTACATGCTTTATGCCCTGAGATGATCAGGGAAAGCTGAGCAAAGGCCCAGCATTCACAATACAATATACAAAAGTAGTGTATCCTCCTCCCCCCAGCTGCTTGACTTGGAAGAAGTAACCCAGTCCATTGTATTTCAGAGTGTCTGGCTCAACACACATTTGGTTTGCTTGTTCCAGAGTATTGAGAGACAGACTGTCCTCTGAATTCCTTTGTCCCCATGGTACACAGAAAGTCAAGGCAGGTATAGAGCTGGTCTGAGCATCCAAGGAGCATAGGCCATAGGCAGCTAGGGTGAGAACCAACCCAGGTGCCAAAGATGGACGGAGGAAAGTTCTGACTTCAATGGAAGTCAGGTCAGTGGCTCAGCAGTGATCAGGGGTAGATGGCCAGCCCAGCCTCCTTGCTTGGAGGGCAGAGGTCTTCCCCAGCTCCAGGGGCAGCTGATGGACCTGAGCCAGATGCTGCCCAGAAAGCAG